AGTTTCCATGATACGCGACCAAATTGTGATTGGCATTAGCAACGACGGCCTGCGAGCTAAACTTCTGCAAGACAATGAGCTCACGCTGGCCAAAGCAAAAAAATGTGCAAAGCATCAGAGGCAGCTGCTCAGCAATGCGAAGCATGGGCGCATAGCGTAGAACCAGTGGAACAGGTCAATGTTGCTCGGGCTCCGACAATGCATCCCAAAGCCTTCAAGTGCTCCTGTTGCGGTAGAGAACACAGGCTACGTTACTGCCCAGCTTATTGCAAAACTTGCAGAATCTGTAAGGCAAGGAATCACTTCGCTGTTCGCTGCAAAAGAGCTGCGCGCGTTGACGAGCTACAGGATGACGACGATGGCGACGACTTTGAAATTCTAGATGTTTGTATCAGCAGCATACAGAATGAACGAGACTGGACGGTGACAGCGAGCCTTGGCAGCAAGGAAGTCAAATTCAAAGTCGACACAGGATCTCAAGGTAACCTCGTACCGTATTCCGTCTACAGGAATCTTCGGCCAATGCCGTCTAAGAAACCCAGCAACACCACTCTGCGGTCATACGATGGGACCATCATCGGACACATAGGCGTCATCAGCCAAGAAGTGGTCATCGGTGACAGACGCCAGCACTTGACCATCTACGTCTAAAAAAAATGAAGACAGGCACTACTCGGGCTCCAGGTGAGTGAAATGCTCGGGCTGGTGACCAGGACAGTCAACGCCGTTGCAGCAAACAGCTCCGAGCAACTAATGTAAGAATTCGGTGAACTGTTCGAAGGTACCGGCTGTGTGCAACGACACTACACGATGGTCCTCTCCTCGGATGCTGTCCCAGTGGTTCAAGCCGCCCGCCGAGTCCCGTTAGCCCTGAAGGAACCCCTTCGCTGCGAGCTGAAGCGGATGGAGCAAGCGGGCATTGTGACCAAAGTTAACGAGCCAACTGCATGGGTAAGCCCATTGGTAATTGTGAAGAAAAAAGATGGAAAGTTAAGGGTCTGCATGTATCCCAGGGCGATCAACACTAACATAAAACTGGAGCATTACGAGATGCGAAGACGGGAGCCCTTTGAGGCAGAACTAGCTGGTGCAAAGGTGTTCAGTCGACTTGACGCAAAAGCTGGTTTTCACCAAGTGCCTTTAGACGAAAAAACATAAAAAATTTGCACTTTCGCCACTCTTTTTGGGAGGTATCGGTCCTTGCGGATGCCTTTTGGAATTGCGTCAGCATCAAAAGTATTTCAAAAGACTCTCGGCGAAATATTTGACTTCTTGCCGGGCATTCATGTGTATGTTGATGACATTTTGATTTGGGGAACCTCGCAGGAACAACATGACCAGCGCTTGAGATCAGTCCTTCAAGCTGCAAGGCAAGCTGGGCTGAAGCTAAACGCCAAGAACTGCAAGGTTGGTGTTGAAGAAATCAAATTTCGGGGGATATTATCTCGAAAGACTGTATAAAACCCAACCGACGGTTGATCGAGTGTATGAAACAGACACCCATGCCGACTGATAAACAGGGAGTGCAGCGTCTTTTGGGCGTAACCAATTATTTTTCCAAGTACCTACCCTCCTTGTCGCAGAGGACGGCTTCCTTGCGCAGTCTAATCAAGCATGATGCTGCATTTGCATGGACCCCAAACCACACGCATGAATGGCAGAGTATCTGCGGCAGTCTTAGCGAACAGCCACTGCTTGCAATCTTTGACCCTCAGAAGGAAACAAAAGTGACGTCAGATGCATCAATGTGTGCTTTGGGCTTATCTCTCATGCAGTATCTCGGAAGCAAATGGCGTCCTGTGGCGTGCGCATCAAGGGTGCTGACTGACGTGGAACAGCGTTATTCAGATTGAAAAGTAAACATTCGTAGTGACGTTTGGATGCCAAAAATTTCACTACTTCATCTATAGCCGCCGGATAATCTTGGAAACCGATCATCGGCCGTTGATAGCGATAACTCAAAAAGCAATCGCTGATATGCCACCTCGATCACAAAGGTTTTTTTCTGCGCCTGCTCAAGTATGATTATGTTCTTTGCTACGTCCTAAGAAAAGAACTCATCTTGGCGGACATGCTGTCGCGAGCCACAGCCGTGAAGCGGGACCAGGACGATGTGGACACTGACGCCGACGTGGAAATACATGCCGTCAGTACAGTTACGGCTCTGGTTAGCGATGTCACACTGAAGCGGTTACAAGAGGAAACTGAAAAGGATCCCCATTTACATTCCGTAATACAGGCCATTTGCGCTGGCCATATCATTGAAGGAGAGCTGAAACCTTTCACAGGTGAAGTGCCAGTCGTGAAAGGAATCTCACTGAAAGGTACCAAAGTGATAGTGCCTGTGCCCATGAGGAGCCAGATTTTGGGACGAGTTCACGAAGGCCACATGGGCCTCAATAAGTGTAAGGCAAGGGGCAAGAAGATTCATTTTTTGGCCGAACATTAATGCAGAGATCAGACATGGTACATAGGTGTGCTGTGTGCCAACATTATGCGTATAGTCAGCCTAACGAACCGCTTATATGAGGCAGACACCAAAATACCCAAGGTATAGGGTCGGCGTCGACCTGTTCAAATGCGGAGGAAAGTCGTATCTGTCCGTGTATGACGCTCTTTTTAATTTTCCAGAGGTGGAGTAGCTGCATGACACATCAGCGACAACCGTCATCGACAAGCTGGGGACCATATTTTCGCAATATTGTATTACTTATGAGGTGTGTACAGACAATGGACCCCAATTCAGCAGTCGCGACTTCAGCCGATTTGCAAGCAAGTATGACTTCGGACATGTCACCTCAAGCCCGCAGTTCCCAAGGTCCAACGGACTAGCAGAGAAGGGCGTGCAGGTAGCTAAAGAATTTCGAAGAAAACAAAAGATGCACGAAAAGATTTCTGACTAGGCCTCCTGAGCTACAGGTCAACACCCTTGAAAATGGACGACTGCCCGGAGAACTACTCCAAGGAATGCGATTAAGGTCGACACTTCCAGATTTCAGTGACCAGGAGACAACGCAAGTGTGGAAACGTGTTCAAAAGGAACATTCCAAACGGGATCTGCCACCACTGGACAAGGTACAGACTGTTAGGATCAAGAAAAAGTATTGGTCATGGAAAGCGAAAGAGGTCAAGCAGGTGTATCTAAGATCGTACGAAGTCTTGACAGAAGACAACAAAAGACTTCGTCGGAACAGCCAACATCTGCTTCCCACAAGTGAAACTTTCATCCAGGGTACCCTGGAAAGTGAACCCAGCACTGACGAAGTCCAACAAACTGCACATGCTACGCCCGACGTGCCCGACCTGTTCATTGCACTGCCAGGCATGGCGACATATCCCACTACATCATTACGAAGATCCAGCCGCCAGTCCAGGCCACCTCAGCGCCTACAATACGATTCAAATTTCCAACAGTTGCCCCGAACTCTTTCCTTTCTTGTGTTTGTGTGCTGTTAATACGTGCATTACACTAGTTCTTTTTCTAGTATGTGCACCATCAAAAGGAGAAGAATGTATCGTGATGTTATAGTGCAACACACGTCATCATTTTCACTCGACACGAGCCGTGTCCTTTCCCTTCCCTCTTTCCTGTGGGTGTGGCTTTATAAGCAAGCGCAATAAAGGACTCAAGGTTCTTTTCATCCGTCAACATGTCAGCCTCGTCAATGCCGCACACACGCCCTTAGCGCACGGAACTTGACATATATATATATATATATATATATATATATATATATATATATATATATATATATATATATATATATATATATATATATATATATATATATATATATATAGTTATGACGCCGACACCGGTGTCAAAATACAGCAAAGGCTGTTCATATAATTGCTATTGCAATACATTATTGTCCCAAACACCGTGCTGAAGCACCTGCGAGAGTGTTTTCATTACCGCGCCTTGCATGTTCGCCGCTGCGCAACGCTGTGATGTACCCCGGCAGAGATCTGTTAACAAAAGCAAGCTTGGAGCATGCACAAACATTTTTCTGCGCAGTCGTTCCAGAGTCCTCGCCGAACACGTTCATCCACCGCCACCCCCGCCGCGTGCACATACAACCGCTGCCAGGTGGTAGTGTGTGCACGCGCAAGTATTTTTGACGTATCCTCGTCCGCGTGTCGCTTTTTCGATGGTACGCTTCAGTGCGCCGCACGTGCGGCAACTGTCGTGGCTGGGCGGCACACCGTTAGGATGACTCCACTTCTAAGGCACAGGTCCTTCGTTGACAATCCGAAGTCGTCCATCAACTGCATGTTACACGTGTACGCGTCCGGAGTGGTGCGCAGCGAATATAGTAAACTACACTTGCTTGTCGTCCAGTCTCCACTTCGTCTCACGCTTATCTCAGTGCCGGAACGTACAAGAATCGGTAGAACTTGCACTTATCGCCCACCGTTTCACTGGGCCAAGACTTACTTCACAACGTAAAATATTGGTACCGTTACTAGAACTTCAATATCGCTTGATTACTTTGCCCCGTGATAAGTGCATATCCTGTATTTGCCTGCACGTACACTATTCGGGACTTTCGCATCACAGCTACACTGGGTAACAGTGACCGCACGAGCACACAGCAGGAGCAGATGATCGAGAAAGCGATGCTGCTATATTTCATGTTTTGCTTCTACGTCAGCACAACTAGCCAGACTGCTGCGTGAACTCACCATGACCAGCACTGTTGCCTGTCGTGAAGTTAGTGTCAATGTCAGTAGGTGCGCCGCGACTTATTGTCAAAATGAACTATCTGATCAGTATTTGCTGAGCGCCGCACTTGCTCAGAGCCGTCTCTGTAAGCTCAAAATTTTTATGACAGAGTAAACTCGCCTCTGAAAAAAACGTGTCAGTACCCTTTCAAGGTTTGAAAGAGCTATGAGTGTTTCGTTTTGATGATGCGCTTGGACAATACACGGTGCGAATACTATAAGCGCCTGTATTTATTTACCTTATGGAAAGCTAACGTGCTTCTTCTACTCTGCAGGAACGCGCAGACACGGAATGGAAGTTTGGCCGAGCCAAATTGATCCTGAAGTACTTCCACCCAGGTCAGACGTTGCCACCCCCATTCAACTTGTTGGAGTTCATCCGCCACATCACTAAGCTCATTGGCTGCAAGGGGCCAAAAAGAAAAGACAAGGTAAAACTTCAAGGCGCTCTGCAACGCTTTTTTAGCATGGTCAGAAAACTTCAGTGGGCAAGGCGAGCGAAATTGTATAGCGCAGAACGAAGCCTGGAATTCACTATACATTTTCAGTCATCTAAAAATTGTTTTCTCTTCTCCCAAAAATGACAATACAAGCTCTAAAAAAATGCCCCACCTCCTTGAAGGGAATCACAAAGAAATGCGACAGCATTGCGTAGCGTCAAGTATAACTGCATTTCGCAGGTGAAAACCAGCGTTAAAAGAATAATGTTTTTAAATGCGAAGCATTTCCTAGCGAACTTCGGCGACATTGAGAGTATCTATCTATCTATCTATCTATCTATCTATCTATCTATCTATCTATCTATCTATCTATCTATCTATCTATCTATCTATCTATCTATCTATCTATCTATCTATCTATCTATCTGTCTATCTATCTATCTATCAGCCTACGACTTTTAGCTCTCCTGGCTGTTCGGATAACGGTATCGATACCAAACTTGGTATGGCATAACATGACTGTATGATGAGCATATCTGACTAGTCATAACATGAAAATCATGAAATGTATGTCATGAATGTCATGATTTACATTTCATTGTCTTGCTGCTCTTGCGGTGGTTTTGTTCACATGACATGTTGCAAAACTGGTATGGTATGACATGATTGCATGGCGAACACAAGCGACTGACCCTAACATGAAAATCTTCGTGTCATGTGCCATTACAACATGCCAGGCTCATGATGCGTTCACGGCCATTTCGTTAGCGTCACATATAGGAAATTTGACATTACGGTACGTGAATGTATGGCGAAGGTATGTGACTGGTGGAAACATGACGATCATCAGATGCATGTCATGTAACAAGATGACTAAATGCCACGCTCTTGGTGCACTGGCAGCCGTTTCGCTTGCTTCACTTATACCAAATTCGGTATAATGGGACGTCGATGGATGACGAAGGTATGATACTGGTGCAAACATGATAAATATGACAGGCGTGTCATGTAACAACATCACTACATGTTACGCTCATGACGCGCCCGTGGCCGTTTCGCTAGCTTCACATGTACCAAGCTTGGTATTACGCGACGCGAACGCTTGACATAGGTAAATGACACATCCGAACATGATAATCACGACATGCGTGTCATGCAACAGCATGACTACAAGCCACACTGATGATGCGCTCGTGGCCAATTTGTTAGCTTCACATATGCCATATGCCATATGTGGTATTGCGTTACGCCAATGGATGACGAAGGTATGTGACTGGTGCAAGCATGATAATCATGAAATGCGTGTCATGTGAAAATATGACTACATGCCACAGTGAAGGAGCCAATACATTTCTACCTGACGTTGTGCGCATGCTCGCCGGCGTTCTTTTCATTGCGTCACGCCGGCGTTGCCACGCCAGTCACCGGTCCTGCCATATACTCGCAGGCGTGCGCCGCGCTGCGTTCCTTTGACGAATGCGCGTTTCAACGCGTCCGGCGTCCCTCTGTCATGAAAAGAGGCAGGCACAACGCTGTCTGGGTGAAGCGCAGCATGACGCATTTCGCCGGTTGGCGTCGGGCCGCGCTGACGGACGCTGCTCGTGCCGGTCGCCCCTTCCGTCAGGCTATAGAGTTCTCACGATTCGCTAACGTATAGCGTCGCTGTGCCCTGCGTGCCCGCGCATCAACGTTACGTCGGAGTATATTGGGCCCTTCAAGATGCGCTCGTGGCCGTTTCGCTAGCTCTACGTATACCAAATTTGGTGTTACGTGACGTCAATGGATGATGAAGGTATATGACTGGTACAATTATGATAATCATGACACGCGTGTCACATAAGAACATGACAACATATCACGTTCATAGAGTGCTCCCGGACATTTCGCTAGGTTCACATATAAGTTTGTCATCCCGTGACACGAATAGATAACGAAGAGAAATGACACATCCAAACATGGTAATCATAACACGGAAGTCGTGTACGGCATAATTTACCTCCACCTGGTAACGTTGTGGTAATTTTAAAGTGACATATCAACCTTCCTCATTCGTGCTTCGAATAGCATCGATTTCAAATTTACGTGAAATCTGCCATTTTATTTTCTTTTTCTTACACCATGCAACCAATAGCACCGTTCGCAGCCCGTGGCGTGTTTTTGTCGCGAGAAACACGGCATATCTTTGCCGCTCTGTATTAGCTAGCATGCACGGTTAAAAAATACTATGAAGTGAACGAAACAAACAGCGTTCTCGGCTCGACGTTGGCGTTTGACAGTGGCGTCCCGAGCACAGATTTCCGGATGTTCTTGAGAGGCGCCCAGCCAGCGAACGGTCGACAGTGAGCCACGCCACCACGACTAAAGGCCGGGGGGGGGGGGGGGGTGCCTGTGTGACGCTGCAGAATTGGGGCCGAAGGAAGCGTTGGAACGCTTCAACGGAAGTCCTTATATTAGAAAGTTTTAGTACTGCGGAATGGTGCTACGTACGCATCACGCAAGCGCCTTGCGTTACGTGGAGTCGTTTGCCACTAATCGGCTTTTAGTACGCCGTAGTACGCGCGTACGTAACGAGCGTGAAGCGTATTGTGCCATCTGGTAGATCAAAATAGAAGCACGTGTTGTTGACAGCCAATGTGAGCCAATCCAAGTGTTATAGCCAGATTATGGCCATATTTTAAGCCACAGAGCCGGTCGGTGCTTGCCTTCGATGCCGCCATTCTGCAAAACGAAGTCTCGCGCTGTCGCGAACTTGTTCGAGAGCGGCGCGATCAGCTCATACGTACGCACGCGCGCATCTCATGCGTGCGTACGTAGCGGCTGCGTACGTAACGCGATACGTGCGCGTTGCAGTCTGCGCATGCGCACTACGCAGAACGTGGCGTCCTTACGTACGCAACGCTGCCACGTAGGCAGCGTACGCAGTACTAAAACTTTCTATTATTAAAGACGATAGTCTTTCTTGGAAACCTTTGACACAAAAATTTGGGTCTGTCTATCTGCCTGTCTGTACATTTCTTTTTCCAACTTTACCGGCATCGGGTACTTGAAACGGCCACCCCTTCTGCAGCGCCCACCCATGTTGCTCAAGATTCGGCATTCATACTTGTGCAATTGTCAATTAAAGCAGTTATTGAGCTCTCTGGGGCACCATAACAACTGGTATTCGTAAGTTTCATCACCTATAGGGGGCGCAGTGGGTGATTCAATATGGTGCCCACAGAGAGTATCAGAGTGCGTCTTTCTCAAGACGCCAAGTGCGTCTTTCACAAACAGTACGTGTTTCTCTCAGCTTCAAAAACAGATACGTCTTTGCACTGGGCGTCTTTCACAAGACGCTGAGTGCGTCTTTCACAAACAGTTACGTCTTTCGAAAGCATATTGGATGGCCTAAGCTGCTCATCCCCGCTGCGCTGTCTACAACTGTTCAGCTCGACCTACTGATGACATACTGGGGGCTGTCCAAGATGTAAACATGTGCTTTTTTCACGAGGCGATATGTAGCAGCGATCATAAACTGCGGCTTGACGCAAGCAAAAATCAGACATTCTCGTTTTCTTACCTACGTTGCTGCAGAAGTAGTCGGTGCTGATAAAGTGCGTGCTACACACTTTCATCAGCGATATGACGCTAATGAAATTGTACTCACTCTGAATGCCAATTTTTATTCTTGCAGATTTACTTGGAAGAGAAGGATGTGCATTTAAAGAAAGAAGAATTGACATATCAGGTTTGTGCAAACCCTTTGTTTGGTTGATTTCCGAAGGAGGCAGTATGGCGATAGACTCCACGCAATTTCTGTTGCGAGAAATACCAAATTCAATTATATTCATCGTGGCTAACAGCGCGAAAAACACAAAAAAAGACGAGAAGTGGGCAAGGCACAGCGCTGACTTTCATTTGTATGACCAACGATAAGTTAAGATTTCTATGGCCGTTTCTTCTGCATCACATATGTATGTGTACGTTCTCTCTGCCACATAATAAAGTCTAATCTAAGTTTATAACGTCGGCTCTTTGAGTATAACCAAGCTGAAAGGGACTTGCCAGGATAGGCAAGAATAAAGCGGCACAAATCCACTGCAGTGCAGTAAGAAAGAAGCTCTGCAATTTATTTCTTGCATCTAGAACGTCGTGTGTTCCCTTCCGTCTTCATGCAGTCGCCAGTACATACGCCAGACCAGGGTTTGTGTGGATACTCGGCTGAGCGGACACCACAGTTCGTTGGAAGGCTTTGCGCAACTTAGAGGTTCACAAAAGTTGTCTACTATATTCACTGTCGACATTAGCTCAACCGCGAAATGTTGTCACGCAAAATACGTGTCATGTTGCCGCAAGAGAACCATTCTTGTAGTGTGAAATGGGCTTACCACTAGTGCACGTGTCGTTCCTCTAGAGCCGCTCCTTAGTGCACAGGGCTAAGGACGATGCTTTTCAGACCACTCTCGCCACCACTCAACGATGCTCCTCAGGCGCTGCAACAGATAGTTCACTGCTCTGAATGGACGACACTCCTCGTGTCGTCGTCACTGTCAATTCTACCAAACTCAACCCGCAAGGGTTGCATTTGAGGCTCGGCGTATTACTGGTTGCGCAGCAGATACAGAATAGTTCGCTCACCCTGCAGAGGCAATGACCAGCTTAGATGACATGCACAATATTGCCATGTGAGTTATTTGCTTGGTTTAAGCCGACAAGGACTCTGAGCATCGTACCGTGGTGTTCGAGAAGCATCACGCCTGCAGTAGATGATTTTGTTGAGATCGCGCACAGTACCCGAACACTCAATATTATTACACAGCCACCAGGCTGGAAAGCTCGACGTGTGTTTATAATATGAAAGAGGACGCACCCAAGCGATTATCAGTTTATCGATGGCCGACGCACTGTGCACTGATATCAGTGCAGAGCATGCTTTGCTTGCTGTAAGTTGACTTCACATTACTGGCCACAAGTTCGGCCGAATAAAGAGTTTCACCTTGAAGAAGCTTGTTGTTGCTTTCGTTACATCATGACCACGTGACCACATGACAGCCACTCCTCATCAATGAGTGCTTCGTGAATAATGTCGCAGTAATTTTGCTTGATGTGTCCATCTTTGAAAGCATTTCCGTGGTTGACACGTGTGTTCTTTACCGTTAGCTTCAGGAAGTATTTTTACTTACGGTAAACTTTAGCGCGAAATAAAGACGAGAGCACTTGTCTGTCTGACGTCTTTATTTCGCGCTGAAAGCTGCCGTAAGAAGGAACCAACTTACCCAACAAGTCACTCTTCTGAAGTATTTTTACGTGGCCGAAGGCCTTCGGCCAGCCGTTTATATTGAACTTCGGTATAAGGGCTTGCTCACCCTGACAAAAGCGTTTGCTGAAGACCACGCACTTCTCGCAGCTATCAAAGCAAATCCAAAGAGCAAAAAAGACCCCCTCTCTCCTAACGTTTTTTCAGCATCTTTTCGTGTTTTCAGTGTTGACAGGTGTTTTTCCCTGCTTTCATTACGTCTCCTTTAGGACGACGCAGCACGTAAGTACTAACCATGTCATTGTGTATGTGCCCATATCTCCGGCAAGTTCATTCTAGGACGCTTTTGTGCATGGATTCTGGTTGCCATAGAAAACACATGCTGTCGGTGAACGAATACTCGGGATGTGCGCAAACAATACGAAATTAATCAGGGCTTGACTGTCGTGAAATTGGGGGCAGGCGAAGCTACCTTCCTGCCCTTTCTTCATTTTCCTCCTTCTCTTCCTCCTCCTTGTAGGTACCTGTCCGTCTTTATTGCATCTCCAAACTTTTTTGCCTTCCTGCAGGGAGTCGGCAATTCATCCACCCATTTAGCATCGATGCTTTTCAGTTTGGGCAGAAGTGAATTACCACGCTGTTCCTCAACAAGGCGTTCAATATCGCCCAAGAAAATAGAATCATCTGTTAAAGAGAGAAGGGCAACTGTTCCGAATGCATTGCGTTGCTGGGGCTCTTGCAAGGTAGTGGGAAACAATATTTCAGCTGAAGTATGACAGGAGTTTCCTAGAGGAATCAAGGCGGATCAGCTAAATGCATCAGCTAGATTGATATGGCAGGCCCTTTCATGTGTGTTAGACGTTGCAGCTTGGGGAGCCACCTTTTAACTTTTGGTAAAGCCTGATGTGTGAAACAACCAGAACAGAAAATAATCGTCGCAATAGCTTTTAAATTCGGAACACCCGAGGTAAGGCCTCAATTTATCTACAGTCCAGACGACAGCCAGACACTCGCATCACTGAATTGTGTACTGTTTTTTTTTTGCTTCAGTGAGCACCCTGCCTTTAAAGGACACTGGTCTCAATTATTCAATAATTACTTGAAGAATCACGGCTGCTATTCCGACACCACTACCAACCGTCTACACCTCAAATGGCTGGTTGAGATCAGGGAGGTTCACCAGGGCATCGGGACGAAAAGGTTCTTTCAATCTCTCTTTCTGGTCGATTCAATGCAAGTTGCACTTTTCTTAAAAAGGCTACTTGAGGGTATGGCTGCTTGAGGCTCCGCGAAGCCAAGGAAGGCTTGAAGCTGCTGGACTATTGGTCGTCGAAAGTAGTGCGACGCACCAACCAAGCACCTTGCTCTCATCAAGTGTACATTGTCCAGGTGAAACAATATGTCCAAGAAGCTGGAGGGAATGGCGGTAGGAGTTGTATCTTGTATAGATTTCGGGTGAGACTTTTTTTATGATGCGCTCTAGTATGCATTGAATGTATTCCACATGGTTATCAAAGGTGTGTGAATAAACCAAGACATTGTTGAGGAGTGTTTATCCAAAGCTCAGTCCTTCAAAATGTGGATCATTGCTGGCCGCCTGCGAAACTGGAGAGCATTCAAGTAAACTCCAAGTGTCTCGGTGGCAGATAAACGTCGTGAAAAAGCCTTGCGAAAGGTCTTAACTTGAAAGCAGCTGGGCCTGACCCAACTGCACCAAGAGTCCTGGGCATGGAATAAGCAGGCATCCTTGTACGGCTATTCAGCGGCCGATAATTGATGACAAGGCGGAAGCCAACGGATTTTTGCGAATAGAACGGAAGTGCTTGTCCACTGGCTGGTGCGCGGGCGTTTCTATGCACTGTTACAGTCCAGCTTTACCTCCCTCTGTCAACGCTGACTGTGTCACCTACCGTAGCGCTTACGGTTGCCGACCCGTGCTTTGACCCCGGCGGTCACAATTTGATAGAGGCGAAATGCTAGAGACGCCGGTGCACGTTTTAGAATTCCAGATAGCGCAGAGCCCTCCACTGTGGCGTTCCTCATAATTACATCATGATTTCGGAAAGTAAAAGACGGAATACTGATATAACAGTATGTGTAACGTCCGACCCACCTCCTATAGAAGGTGGGTTGGGGCTAAATGGAAGTCTGATTGCACTTGTATATGAAACAAAGATTGGCTATTCGTCAACCTGTGGTTTTTATTCACGGCGTGCTGCATTCTTTGTTTCTCAAGACAATTGTAAAAATTATACGGGCTGACTGTTTCTTCAGTTGGAACTGATTTTGCACAGCAAACATCACGAGTGATGTTGTAAAGTACTGTTATCGGCGCTGTGTCTTTATAGTTGATTCGTGCAGTAATAATAGAGCTAAAAAGACGCCCAACGGCATCCAGTGAGAGCAGGTGTTGTGAACACTGGGAAAAAGAGGAAGGTTAAGCACCTGCGCTTTGCTGTCCTACTACAGTGTCTAGAAATATACTGGCTAGTGCGCTGAGCGCCCGGATTCCGTACGAGAAAGGGTGGCCCCACATGTGATGACTGCACTCAGATGCCACAAGCGGCGCTGCGTGGCGAGAGGGTTCCGAGTTCCTTGTAGGATGCCTGCTTCTCGCCCTACTTCCGAGCTGTGCGGACGTGTTTTCGCGCGCTCCGCCTGTTCGGCGGATTCAAGGTCGTGCAAGGTCGTGCAAAGTCTGCAGCGCGCAACGAGAGATAAGTTTCTGTCCATTTCTTTGTGTTTGTGAACACCATTATTTATTTTCACTACTAATCAATAATTAGCGTCGCGAGTACTGTAGGTGTGGGACACGGGCACGTTGTAGTGACGTTGACCACGTGAACGGGCTAGGCGGCTGTTTTGAAGAAGGTCGGGGCGCCCGATTAGTTGTTGAAGAGCTAGAGCTGAACACGAAGGGGACCTATTGAGAGGCTACTAGCGAAATTGAACACGTATGTGTGCGGTGTAGGCGGCAGCTTCAAACAGTCGTTGAGGTATGAGAGTTAGCGGAGGCGGCTGGATAGCGGGATTAGGGTTCAGCTTAGGGTTGTCGGGCGCTTAGTCCGATGGTCGGGCGGGTGATAACTAAGGAGGCTAGGAAATGCACGGGCGAGAGTTAGCTGGTACAGTGCGAAGAATGCAAGCGCTGGTGCTACTTAGACGAGACAGCATTCACGGGCTTGGCCGACGCGCAGAAGGCGAGCTTCGTGTGCAGGCTGTGCGAGGCACTGAAGGCGGCCGTGCAGCGCATTGAGGCTAACATCAACGGGCTTCAGGGAGAGCTTAGGGCGGAACGGGAGCAGAGGATAGAACTCCAAAAAGAGCTTGGAGCATCGCGTGAGCGGGAGGAGGCTACCGCCAGCCTATTAGAGCAAATGAAAGGCGACCTTCGAAAAGAACGGGAAGGGCGGACCAAGCTAGAGCAGCGCGTAAAGGAACTAATGGCGCTTTTTCCCGGTCCCGAGCGGTTTGAGACGGAAGGCATGGGA